CGGACTTATTCAGAGCAGCTGAATATGGCTGATTGTATCGATAAATTACGCAGCGCAATGCTGGAATGTCAGGCGGTTTTGGAATGGTGTGAAAAACCATGATGCAAAATTAGACTCAAGAGTCGAAGTGAAACTTGATATTAAGCGACGACTTGCTGCATTCGAAAGCAAAGTATAGGTGTCATTATTCCCGTTTATTTATGGGTGTACTTTCCAATATTTCCTACGGTAAGTGAATTTGTATACCTCTACTTTTCATGAAAAGTTTTCGAGAAATGTTGAGCCATGGATTTTAGAATGACAGTGGTCGAAAACATATGACTCGAACTAGTTCTGAAAATAGATTCTGAAACAAAAAAAAGGATTGAAATGCATCTTGCACTTAATCTTTTTGCCGTAGTTCTTTTTTGTTCATGCTGTCTTTGATCGCATTATAAATATTTTGATGTCTTTCATCTCATTTTTATTTTATCTAAATGATAGCTTTACTGATAAAATCATATTGAAGTTAAATCATCTAGTGCTTAAATATGGAAAGTTTTTTGGTTTCCCAGAATGAATTATTTACATCTTAAATATGGGGGTTATTGAATGAATTAAATTCTAAATTTTTATTTCACATCGAACCAAAGGATGTGGGATGCATCCTTATAATCACATTCAAATGAGATGACTTCCGATGCGATGAATAATACAGTAGATAATATAATAAACCACTGTGGAATACATTCTTTATAGAAAAAAAAATTAGGGTAACTTCCTTTTTCTTTTCCCTTTAAAGAGTAATTTGTAGCCTGCAATTTCATATTGATCAGAAAACTGGTGTTCAACTTGTTGACATTACCGGTGTGAAGTACTGAAGTACTGTCTTATGAAGTACTGAAGCGTGAAGTACTCTGTATTTTGATACAAATTTGATATGTCTTTTTTTGCTTCGAAATTCAGGTAATATGACAATGGGAAAGCTGCAGTTTTTAAATCGATAGGTCCATTTGAGTATCTTCAAAAACTTGTTTATTTCAAAAGCTAAGTAATAAAAAAAAGTCAATGCAATTTGACTTTGTAGTTTTTGATCTCTTTTTTGATAGATAATATCATTTCTTTGATTTATGGCCAGTACAAATCTCACATCAAATTTGTTTGAAAAAATTTGCCATAGATCGAAAATATTTTAAGGTTTCGGTAAAATTCGCATGTTAAAATGATACGAAAAATTATAAATGTTGAAATAAGTTTTTCTTCTGAAACTGTTCACTTTTTGCACTGGAAAAATAAAATTTCTTCCGAACTTATGATTTTCCAAACAGGGGAAACCTGTACTATTATCAAGATCCGATACTAACCTTCTTCCACCATAAAGAAATATTTCTTCTTTCGTAAGTAAAAAAATTCTTATTGGTTGATATCTAACTCCCAATCATCCATAACAATATTGTACATCATCATTCCTGATCTATTTATCCGGTCGATTATCTAAAGCTCGACAAACTTGCGAAGATGTCGCTGAAGTAAGACTTTTGGTCAGAAACTACGGATAATATAATCTGACAGACGCTTTAATGCATATTGTTCGAATCATATTGCTACATCTTATTGCCGTTATTCGCAAATGAGTTCCGATACATACCACGAGTTTAACTGATATGAAGTTCTGTTTCATGATTTTTTCACAATTTCATTTTCCAGAAATATTGAATGATACATCAGATATCCATTTAACAATCTTCTTATATCATTATGCATCAATATCAATATCATACATTAATAATAAACTTTTCATTATTGAATTGCACTTACTCTTGTTTCAGTTTAAATTCATCGTTTCATAGCATTACTAGGCTGCAGTATAATAGATTCTCTTGTTTATTAATTTTCTGAGTAATAGTTTTAGTCTCCTTTTTTATTCGAAATCTTTGAATTTATGTTTCCATTATGGCGAACTAGTTTCTTCTTCTTTTAACCAAGGCAATCCTTTGCACCAATATTCATAATTTCTGAGGTTTGAAGAAGAAAGTTCTTTTGTAGCCATATCAGTTGGATTGTACCCACTTGGAATGTAACGAAATGAAAATCTCGCATTTCGAATTTTTTCAACTCTATTTTAATACCAATATAGGTGATAATCTGAAAATAATTCTATATCCAGTATAGTACACATTTGGAATTTAACTACACTGCAACTAATATATTTTCTAGATTCGGTTACTTTATCACGAACATGGCTACTCGTATTCCGATGAATATCGCCGATAATTCTAATCGAGTTATAGTGATACCTTTGGTGCAACTCGAAATTTAGCTATTATTAAGGAAGTTTCTATTCCTTGATTTTCCTTTTTTAACACACATGGAGCTGCTCCTTTCTGATTTGCAGAAGAATTTGTTATGTATCGTGGTATTTCTTTAATTTTTCTTTATCATTCACTTACAGAAGATTCTCATACTACTTTGGTATCTTCTATAATCGATACCATTATTCCTCCGCAAGTTTTGAATAATTTGGATCGTATCACTGTAGGAACTAGGAATGTCAGTGGGTCATATTGAAGCTACGTATTGCAAGGTCATCCTTTTGGGTAATGACTTTGCACTCTATGGTTTTAGAGTTACCTGAATGATATCCATATTGTAAAACCAGTGGTGCCAAGGATTTTCTTTAACTCATCTCTTTACTCCTTTTACCTATCTTATTTCTATCTTGTTCGGGTGTTTCCTTTATTGCTTGAAAGAAATTCTCGAATGTTCATTGATGCTTCATAGAAAATAGATTACACTTCATGGTATTTCTGGAGTGCATCTTCAGTTGACATTTCGTTGACGATATAATATTATCAACATAAAAATTCTTTCTAATTTCTATTTCGCTTTAATGAGTTTTCAAGTGATGATTAAGGACAGCTGATAGTAAAAATAGAGATGATATTACTGAGAAGGGAATTCTTTCGGATCGATAAAACTTTATATTTTCTTCAATTGCATGTTAACGAATAAACGAATATCCTTGAGCGAGAGAAATGGAGTATGATTCCTTTTTGTAGGATGTAATCCAGTTGTACAAATGCCTTTTCTATTACCAGTTATCATATTTTTCATTATTCGAAGATGAAATAGTACTCCTACTAATTCTAAAAGTGTTGTCGGTCCATAATATATCATCCGAACTTTTAGTTCCTTTTTAACTTTGTTGTAGTTTTACTAGGAGTTATAACTTCATGATAAGTCAAGTGATAAGCAATATCAATCTGGTCCGTATCGGGTTCTTCAAATGTATAAGGACATGATTGATCTTGAATTGTTTCATCATTTAGTTAAATGAAATGCTCATTAGTTTGCAGTCGTTTGATTAGTGTTTTTAAACGGTCAAAACATAAGCCACAATTGTTGCTCAGTTGACCTTCCAATCTTACCATGGCCACTTTCTGTTCAATGGCACTTTAATTGTTCCGATGTTTGGTCATCATTATGAGGATTAGATTGCTCCTGAATGCTTACGAATTCTAATTGCCAGAATTGATGTCTGGTGTCAAGATGGTAAATGTTATTGTGTGAAATCCTGTAGGTACTATCATTTTAACAATAATTTAATTCTTACAAGCATCAATTTGGTAGTAGCGACCGAAGATGGGAAACTTTATGGTTTTGCTATTTGATATATTTCTTACCCTAATGCTTGAAATTGTACCTTGAATAAGATTTAAAATCACATGCCGCAAATACCGTAACCGAAGTTCCTACCTATAGGTTGAAATCCTAGAGAATACATAATATGACGATATCTATTCGCCAATAAATCAAATCAATGAAAACAACTCTTATCGGTAAAAACTGAGATATTTTAGTATAAAAATAATACCAACACTGTTAAGATTATTCTATTTTTAATTGCAATATCTGGACTGTAGACACAAAACCATATGTGGTGCTGACAGCGTTCTTTATTTAAAGATGTTTCAATATATTAGCCAAGCTTATATTCCCATGTTGATTACTGCAACCAACAAAGCTCCTCTAATTGTAACCTTATTCCGGTCTATTAAAGGGTAATATGTACTTCATAGAAATATTGTAAATCACTCCCACCATATAAGCAGGAGAGTTAGTCATTTAAGTTCACTTTTATCATCCATGCCGATAGTTCCAAGTTTATTTTTGTTGTGAAAGTTGCGTTGGGTCGGAGTTTAGTTGGTTGGCAACTATGACTGGTTGCGCACAAGGCTTGTGAAATCTAGTATTCGTTAGGTAATTAGTAGATAACAGCAGATAACATGGTTGGAGTCGATCACTAGATTGTTTGGAAATCCTTGACGATATATTTGAGGGATTTCGAAGCGCGTTGTTTTATCTAGGAACGGTAGTGATGGAATTGAACTTAAATGACTAACTCTCCTGCTTATATGGTGGGAGTGATTTACAATATTTCTATGAAGTACATATTACCCTTTAATAGACCGGAATAAGGTTACAATTAGAGGAGCTTTGTTGGTTGCAGTAATCAACATGGGAATATAAGCTTGGCTAATATATTGAAACACCTTTAAACAAAGAACGCTGTCAGCACCACATATGGCTTTATGTCTACAGTCCAGGTATTACAATTAAAAATAGAATAGCAATCAATGGCAAACATTTTACAACACCAGTTGAGCTAATACATCTTTACAATGTCAACATTATTTTTATACCAAAATATTTCGGCTTTTAGTGACAACTTTATGGTAGCGTTCTGAACAGTGTTGTCACCAATGACGTCTGCAAATCGGAATATTTGAAATAACTCCCAAACCTGATAACATTAAAATCTTTTCTTGTTCAATATTTTCTGTTTGTAAAAATATTAATCGCCATGTTGTAATGTGCAGTCTTGCTTTGCTCGTTTGGAAATATATACGAAGATGAAGATGAATTAAAACAATTTATCATAATTGATCACTTATTTGTTTGTTTGTTTATTTTTGGTTGATTGTAACCAGTCAATGTATTTTTCCTACAAAATGTTAATGTTCCTTAAATTAATTCTTTAGAATTAATTACACAAAATCGATTTTCATGTTAATTTGGTTTTTTTTATAAAATCTAGTTAGACCAGAATAGTTTTTTAGCAATCATATGAGGATTAACGATGGTTTCTTAATGAGTTGGGAAGTTGTTTACTATTATGAAAAGTAAAATAGAATATAGGCAGCAGATTGTGTTGATTAGTTTAACAGACTGGTCTTTTCGGAAAACCAACAATTCAACATTGTAGTTCAAAGGTCGATGAAGGACAATTCACATCATGTAATGTAGCATTATCAGGTGAAACGTTGTACTGATTTGATAGAAAACATCCTGGTCTTATTATAAGTTCTTTTTAAAAACATTGTCAACAATGGCTGGCACGAGTAAAGCGAATGATGGCGATGATTTTACATCGTTTGGTTCATCAGCAAAAAATGTTGTAAATGATATTAATGCGAAGATGGAAGGTAATGGAGGCGATGATATTGTACACAAAGCTCTTAATGATGATATTCAAGATGGAAGTAATAAAGGTGCAGATATTTCATCCAGTTTGAAATTTACTTTAATTTTTGAATTCTGTCAAATTTCATTTGTGCCTAGTTCCTCTTTTCGCTTCTCTTTTAACTTGATTAATACGCCGTATTTTATCCTTCAGACTGCTGTTTCTATGGGAATGATAAGATCGATCAATTACTTTTTAATGTTTCTCGTATATTTTGCAGAGGACTAAGGTAGGTCAATTCATTTGATTTAATATGTCCACAAATTATGTGCAATTTGCAGATAAAAGTATCCCCAAGCAAAATGACAAAGAAATGGATGAAACGAAGAGGAAAGAGGGATTAGAAAAGCGTAAAGAACAAGAAGCAGCACTATCCGAAGAGGAGTTAAAAAATCTTCGAGAACAATCTCAAGCGTTTAAAGCTCAAGTAAATTTCTTCTGATTTAAAATAGTTTCTTTCCGGAGGAAATCTTAAAACTTATTATTGTGATTTAAAGCTTATAATATTACTGTGAAATTTATAATATTATTGTTTTTGTAAAAACAATGGAACATTCATGGAGATCTTCCGATATATGCTATAAATTACCCTGATATATGCTATGAATTGAACATAATCATATTTTTCTATTTTTATGGATTGCTTCTCGAATTTCGATTTGCTTAACCAGGGATGTTTATTTTTCTTAGATTTTCAGGGGAATGATCATTTTGGTGAGGGATTTTGGTATGAAGCAGCTCATTCTTACACGAAAGCTTTGGACATTTGTCCACTCATGTACACTTCTGACAGGTTGTTTTGTTCGTCTAATTTTTAACTAATTTTTAAATGTTTTCATCTAATGAGTGATATGTCTTGTGTTCACAGCTGGGAAACAATAATTTTTGGTATAGATTATATCATTTCAATTGCTTTGCGTTACATATTGAACACTAAAAAGACTTGAATCATTTGATATCCACAATGTTTAAACAAGAAAAAGAAGACGGTAAAACTTTTTTTTAGAGCAACATATTTGAGTAATCGAGCTGCTGCATATATAAAACTTAGGGATTGGGAAAAAGCTATCGAAGATTGTAGTGAGGCGTTAGAAATTGGTTAGTTTTGTATTATTCCCTTTAAAATTTCAATATGTTTTGTCGATGAAAGTGAAATTTAAAATCTATTATTTTTAATCATTTATAAAACTATGGATTTTGCTGTATTCTTAGCCGTCTCTTTTGACATTTTAGGTGCACCAAATGATAAACCCTTGGAAAGACGTGCTCACTCTTATGCCCAATTGGAAGAGAAGTATGAACAAGCCGTTGAAGATTATGAATCGTTACTAAAAATGTACCCTAATAGGAAGGATTACGTCAAGAAAATTGCTGATTTGAAACAGGCAATCAATGAGCGGAATGAAAGGATGAAGAGGGTCAGAATTTCCTGCACTGAACATCAAATTTTGAATCTCAAATTTCAAAAAAAAAGCCTAGGAAAACTGGGCATCAAAATTTTATTTTCAAAATTTGTAAAAAAGCTGGGGATTAGGTCATGCTGGTTAAAATCAATTAAGAAATAGGGGAACAATAAAAAAACATAGCTATATGCGAACAGCAGCTGACCTAATTCCACAACCACCCCGAGATATAGGATTATTTTCCCGGCATACCTCAATTTTCCGGAAGCGTGTCCCACACGCTTTTGCATATCATTTATTATGAACATCTAGTTACCAGCTTTTTTAAGTATTGGTGATGTTTATGTGTGCTTCGAAATACTAGTGGAAGTATTTCAGGAAATGATCTCGAAACTGAAAGATTTGGGAAATATGTGCTTGAAACCGTTCGGTTTGTCAACGGATAACTTCGAAATGGTACAACAACCGGGTGGAGGATATTCGATAAGTATGAAAAAGTGATGTTTTCTCCTTATATCGTCAGTTTTGTGTTACATTTTTCGTCTCGAGTGTGCATAAGTTCATACTCATAAGATACCTCTTAGAGGTATCTTATTCATGTTAAGCTGTGTTTTTGACAAGATGCTACCTGAACATACTGACGAGCGATGCGCTTTATGTTTCTCTTTTGATGATGGATTTCAAATAATATTTTTAAGCCGCATGACATTTCTTATTTATCCTTTTTTTCAATAGTAAAGGAATTTTACGACATTTGCTTTTTCTATGTAATGCATTGCACCGCAGTTTTCAGTACCTTTTTTTAGAGCAGTTGCCTGTATTTGCTCTTGATTATTCTCGCTAATTATAGAAATTTGCTTTCTTGTAACTCAGCCAGTGTATATTAATTGTCTCCATTAAGCTACATGATGGTATTGATGTTACTCCCTATTTTACATAGAAACGCGGGGGAAAAAGGCATGTTTAGTGGCTAAGGCAATCCACCCCCCTAACAATGAGGTAAAATTTGTTTAATCCCATTCCAACTGATATTGTAACGCTTCATTCGTGAACAGTGTTTTATTAAAGCATTTACTTAACAGTTAATTTTTTGCGACCTGTCCATAACTTCAAAACTCGATAAATAAATTCCAGAAGCGCACCACCATCAAAATTACCTCGTACAATGCATTGACCACACTGGATCGTAGACAAAGTAAAAATATGTATAAGTCTTTCCAAATAGTTCACGATACTAACAAATCGCAATATATATTAAGTGCGCTTAATGTACAATTATCAATTGTGGAACCGAAATTTGTCTCCACATCAGGATTCACTCGAAAGACATTCCTAAATTGGAGCGAATCCGGTCCGCCTGGTTTTTTGTTTGCTTGTTCAAACACTCACCGATATATGAAGTATTTATAATTAGTGGTTCCGATGAAGCTAATTGTAGAAATAACAAGAGACGATAAATGGGAAACAATACACGCTAATATTTAAAAACACCTAAAATCTCTACCATCTTTATTAAACGTGATCTGCACGATGAGTAAATTCAAAGTCTTTGTAGATATTTTTCATCGGAGAATGAGCATAAGCCTCCTGTAAATAGAATGATTTCATCTTGGTTTGTATATTTCATTTTGACTTGATCGTTTTTAAAAGATTGAATATATGGGAAAAAGAAGTCTAACTCTCAGGTCACATTATTCTTCATTGAAAAAAGAATAACATCACTGATGGAAAAGCATGTCAAATAAGCAGCGGGTAGATGCTGTCGTGTTGATGACCATTAAAGAAGCAAATTTTAATAAAAAAACCTACATGAGGTGTTGGATCCCACCAACGATCCTGCAATGTGAAATACACAGGTTCGCCATACCAGGTCCCAACTCTCCATGCCTTATCATCACTAATTTCTGCCAGTTTTATTTCATAGTCGCGATTTTGTTTCAGAAGTTTCAGCCATCTGCAATCGAAAGACGCAAAAAGGATTAGTTATGGTCGGTACTGGTTTATTTAGTGGCTGAGGAAAATAGGTCAATGTGCTCGAAACCTAGTATTTTACCTCTTTGTCTCCATAAATACATTTCGAAATTTCTAGTAAAGCTGGCAAAGAGACGGATGAAGTTACAAGGAACTATAGTATAGCTAATATACACTTCTCCCCTGTCAGACATATTAGAAAAACTCCACAACTAATTAAGACGTGGTACTCCTACAAGAGGAAGGAAGAAGTTTTAGACATTCGGTTGCAGTCTTCCATGCCTTTGTAAAAAAACATGACTGAAATTTTCAGGCATCACAAATTAAAATTGCCAACAGCTTTATCATGACGGGAAATAAACCGCATAGTTTGACCATATTTTTTTCGAATATCTATATAGGATATCACTTAGGTAAGGCTGAGCTAGTCATTTGGCAATTGCTTAAGCATAAGTCAGAAACGATTTCACACGAACGAGTTGTGGATGATCAACTAGTGTTAACATTGTACTGCATAGAAAGGAAATCCAATAAAAAAAACCTTCGATCTCTTTCAGCGTATAAAAATGGCGTCATCGCAATGTACAAATCCTTATCTTCAAATCGTTCCGTACTGTAACATAATATATGGCTTATTTTAGTTCAGTTTCCAACTGAAGTATAACATCCGAGTATTTTTTTTGAGAAAAATAAAAAAAATCACTTAACTTAAAGTGACTACCCAACGAAATAATTCAATGCGGTGTTACGTGTTATCCGAATATACGGCATATACAACCTTACAATGGTTCATTCGAAAATCTAACAGTATCTTTTCCTGATACTAGAAAGTAGATGCAGCTAAGTTTAAAAAAATCTAACTTATGCAGATATTCAGTCAAAATTTCTCTTACGATTACTTCGCACCAATGATCGAACAGCCAGCAAACGAACGACAAGAGGATATAAAACTTACAGGATAGCACGCTTAAGAGCTCGAGCTTGGAAAATGCCATATCCAAATAAAAAAACAACGACACCCAGTAGTTTTTCCGCTGAAGAAAGGAAAGAATTACAGTGATTTTTCTGGTACTCCAAAACTTTCATAATATCTCTATTTTCTTGAAACTTTTTAATAACTTAATTGTAGTGACAAAAACAAGAATTTAAAAAAATTTTTTTGATTAATATCGGTACATGGTTCATTTCACAATTTGCTTTTTATTTTCAACCAAGTGTTTTATTCTAGTCAACAATCTCGTCTACTGCATCGCTACCAATAATTTACAGCTAAGCAAACTAAGTCCCAATAACAACTAACAGCATGTGCACTGAAATTTAAGAGGAAATCTGAAACTTTGAACTAATTCAAGGTAGTTGTATTTAAATAATTAATACAGCAGGTTCACAATTCTGCATGAACCCATATTTCGGTGCATTGAAATATGAAAAAAGTTATTTTAGACTAAACATTCACAATAATTGCATACTCAAGAAAATGAATGGATGTAAAATTGAAATGAATAAAGTTTAAAGATAATTGTTACGTTTCCAGAGAACTTTTGGATAGGTTCGTGACCAATTAAATTTGGTGTATCCACCCGGAGGTGGCATATCTTGTCGATAATTGGTCGCCATCGCTAAAATATCCAAAATTTATCAAATACAAGATCAATAGACTTTTATTATAACAGTTATCTTTTGTTGATAGAATCATGATGATTTCAATTCTAACGTACGGAAACATAAAACAAATTCATAAAAATAAAAACAAAACAAAACGAATAAGAGTATACAACTGTAAACGATAAATCAGCTGTGATATGAAATCAAGGATCGGAATTACTGGACAAAAATAGTAACTAGAATTAGAAAGAAATCAAAAAGAAAAAATTGAAACATTGGGAAAAGTTGTTCATCTGCTATATCGATTGCGAATTTTCCATGGATGTATTAATAAATGAGTCAAGTAAAAGCAAAAGTTTATTTGTTCCCATTCCTTCAAAGTTTTCTATATTTCCGATTGCTTGACCGGAAATTCGTATACCTACCATTCAACCTACTTCGTATCCCTCCAATTAATATACCGGGACGTGCCGGAACACTGGATATACGAATATCGTAAGAACATGAGACAAAAAACAAACAGAATGCATATTTTACGGCCTGGCTTTTGTTCAAAACCGGTTCAGGAGATAGTGCAAATTTTGATTCCTTCCAAAACACATTTCGGAAAGACGGAAGTGATTGTCAATCGGAGTGGGGAATTTTAGAGAAGGGAGAATTCGGGAAAATTTCGGAATTTCAGTTGGGCAGTGAACTTCTAGATTGCTAAATGAATGCTAGAGTCAAGAAGATTTGTAAGAATGGTTAAATTAGATATAGGTAGAATATTTGAGTAAGCGTCAAGTAAGGTTAGAACGTGTGGATAAAACTTTTGTGTTGGATAAGATTGGGTAGATGTTGTTTGTGTCCTCTACAGGTAAGAATTAGTTTCATCTGAAAAGAAAAAGATTGCTTTTATTATATAAAATTTGTGCGAAATGTGGAGAATTTAGCTTGTACTACTTTATCAAAACTTTTTTTTGACAAATTTCGACCCAGATTTTACTTTTTAAACTTAAAACAGATTCGGAATGTTAAACCTGTACATTTAGCAGGTATGGTAAAACCGACAAGCGTTAAAGATGTTGATCAGCATGAAATTGTACGTCAAATTGCGGGTTTTTTGAAAAAAAGTGGCAAAGTAAGGGTGCCAGATTGGTCAGATGTCGTTAAATTGGGCCAAAATAAGGAATTGGCACCGACTTATAACGATTGGTACTACATCCGAACGGCGAGCATTGCGCGTCGTTTGTATATTCGTTCACCGACTGGTAAAAGTTTAATGTCATATTTTTCACCGCTATTTACGTTGTCAACACTTTACTGTTCGTTTAATGTCATATTTTTCACCGCTATTTACGTTGTCAACACTTTACTGTTCGTCATCCTACATATGGTTTCGTGTTGTCATCGGAAACAGCATCGTATCAAACGGTGGTTTTGATAATCGAAAATTTATTTAACATGTAATTTTAAATTATATATAACATATACTTCTAAAGTTTTCTCTTGTAAATCATAAACTTAAACCTAATATATTTAACTTCATACTCAATTTTTCGCCTTATATAATGGAAGAAGAATGAGTGTTAACTTCAGGCTAATACCAACAAACAGAACGCCAAAATCGCTGGGACGATTTTCCTCAATAGTTTAAATACCGTTTAGGTGTTGGTGCACTGAGACGTGTATATGGTGGTAATAAACGACATGGTGTATTACCGAATCATTTTGTGAAATCATCCGGTTCGGTTATACGTAAAGCTTTGCAGACATTGGAAGCTATCAAATGGGTAGAAAAAGATCCGGATGGTAAGGGACGCATATTGACTAAACAGGTTTGTGATTAATTTTATTCGGATAATCATGAAATCTCTTTTCAGTATCACTTGTAGAATTGCATTGATTTTCTTTCTTCACTTTTTTTATTAAGATTGAGAACTATTAGCATCCATCAAATTCGATTTAATCTCCTTATGTTTACAAGTATTTTCATAACTTTCGTCATTGTTGCATAATCAGTTTCAGTCATTTTTGTCTGCTAAATTTCATTGTCAGTTAAAATTTCTCTGTTACCATTGGTAATTTTTCATAGTGATTTTCATCATAGATTAATTTTTATCATTTCTAGGAGGAGAATTTTTGTATTCATTTTAGTTATCGTCTTCACTTCCATATTGCTGGTCTTAGTTTTCATTTATTAATTTCAGTTTAATCTTTTATTTTAGGGTCGCAAAGATCTGGATCGCATTGCATCACAGCTGCGTCAGAATACAAAGCATTCATTCGAACCATAAATTTATGGATGGTTTTGATAAAGAGAGGAAAAAAATTTTTTTTTTGAAAAATTAAAATGATTCTGTTGTTAAATGTAGAAAAATATGTTGAAAATATATTTGTTTGTCATAAACTGATGCTTTTTTACGGTTTAGTTTCTTTAACCGCGTTGCTGTTGATCTAACATAAAAAATTACATGACAATCTCAGCACTCCAGAAATATTTGATGCTGAAAATAAAACATTTTTGAATTCGAGAATTAACTTGGTTTATGTGCTATGGAAAACTTCTTGCAAACACTTCAAGATGTAAGGGGTAATTCAATAGTATATTGCAAATGGTATGGTAAGAATAGTAAGGAAGAGACTGCCATCTTTTCTTTTATATCCGGATGTTTTTTTTTTTAATTATACCACTGTAGGGGTAAGTTTGCAACCGAACAATATCTGCACTTACAAATGATATAAGACATTTGAAGTTGTAGGTGGATGTATTGTCAGGGTATTTTCTATTACCTTTAAAAAGTTTTAAGTATTTGCGGAAACCTTCGATAGCTTCATTGATCTGCATCTTTCACGTGGTGATAAGCGTATAATTGTCCGTATCATGTTGGAACATGTCTAAACCAGATCTGTTTAAGGTAAATATCAGATGGTTGTTTCTTCCAGATGCTACAAATGCATAGAATGGACAAAAAGCAAATTTGATTTATCGGCATAATTTCGAGGGTGTAGTAGCGGTATCATAAGTGACACCGTTAAATTAATGATAAGGAAGGATGTTAAGTTTGACTTTACCTGGTTCTTTGCATCCTAGCAATAAGGATGCATTCTCATGGTAAGTTAGCTATAATTCTTAATAGTTCGTTAATACGAAAATGAACAAGACTTTTCCTTTTCTCGACATTTAAACCTTTTTCGCTTTTTTTTTTGTCAAGAAATGATTTAACGGAACAACCGGTGTTGTTCCGTTAAATCGAGCACGTAAAAAATTGTAGCATTAACTAAAAAGCATTTAATTACAGTATTAAATAAAAAACAATTTCTGTTTTTTCTTTGAGGAAGGTAGTGTTTTGAAAATTTTTTGTTCCTCTAATTTACCGGAATTTGAAGCTAGCAGTTTACTTGGCCACGTGTTGATAACTAAATTTCGGAAGTCTTTATTCAAAATAATAATAATGTAATTTGAGCTCTTCAAGTGACAATAGAAAGAAATTTGAAAGTTCAAATTTTGAAATATTATACTGTTTTAAGTTTGGGAGCTATTAAACTTCAAAAAACAATTGATGGATAAATAGATTGCTAATGATGATTGGTATTTGTTCCAATTTTTCAATATTAGTATATATTCTGCATTTTCAGGAATGAAAAAGGTTTACTGGTATATGGTGCTCATTGTACGATTGTGATAGTTGATGTACTTCGTAATAAAATTATTCAGACTCTTGATCGACATACTTCAGCTATTACACATGTAAGTTTTTTTATTCTCCTCCCGGAAAAATTACTTTATGATTCACTAAGGATGTTGCGATTCTGTAGTCATAACGATGGGATAGTTTCAAATTGAAACTTTGAAACCTTGATCTTAGGAGTAATTTCAGATTTGCTGCTCATCAGAAGAGGAAGTAGGTTTCTCGGCCGATGTACGATTAAGATGTGCATCTGCTGATGTTAGCGGTACAATAGTTGTATGGGACATTGTAGAAGGTGTCGAACTATCATCTTTTTCTATTCCGAATAGTGCAGTTTTGAGTAAGTTTTCGCGTTTTTGGATTAGAAAATATTATGCATTTTGTAATTAAATTATTATCTATTCTAATACAGTCAAAATTATGTATTTATAAAGAAACTATGATGAAATTATTTGCCTAAATCAATTATGAATGAATAAGTATGTCTCTCTGTCTTTTGGTTTTCCTTTGTAGAATCGAATAAGTAGGTAGTTCAAGTAAAACATCACATCATAGCCTTTTATTTATTGTTTACCAAAAAGGAATAATTGATGTTTATCTTGTGCTGTTTGGTTTCTTTCGTCTCTTGAATTTTTCAGGTCTTGATTGGTTCCCTTGGGAAGATACAACTCGTGATTTTCTTTTGGTATTACATTCCCCAAATAATTTGGTTTTATGGAATATGGTGACTGGAGATCGAATTTGGAATGTCACGTATTCTCAAACCTTCAGCAGTTTTTCACTTGATCCATTCGATTCACACAAAATTACTTGTTGGTGCAATTTTTTTGAATATAAATCTTGTCTGATTAAATTTTGCGAATTACCTGAAATGCTGCAGAAATATTAAACTTAAAAAAGAATCTTCACTGAATTACTTTGCTTTGCTTTAACTGTGCAGCTTAAGAGATGTTCGAGCTATCGTTTTCAGTCGTACTTTGATTTGTTAAACCTTATTTTTCTTTTGCAATCGTATGTGTTCCAAAATACTGGAGAATTTTTTCAGTGTTGATTTTTTCTTTTAAAAAGTTGATCTCATATTAGAATGAAATAGCTGATTTGCAGTTAGTCTAGTCGATACTGGTTCTTTGCTGTTCGTTGACAATGTTTTGCTTCATAAAGCTCCATCAGGTGAAGGTACTTCGCTGTTGGTGTTCGATACTGTATCAGCTACAATGCCAATTATACAAATTGAATATCACAATGCTTTTCCAAATATCCTTTTTGCAGCAACTCAAAATGAGGTTAGATTATCGTGTTTGGTTCATATATTACTTGCGTTTACATTAGACATTTTTTAACAATATGAATGGGTATTGAGAATAGTGCCCTTTGAAAGAAGGGGAAAATGTTTAAAGAGGTAACAAAATTTATGATTAGAATTCGGATCCTAGATCCAGTGGCTTTTTCCTTTTTTAGTGGTGAGCAGAGAGAGAGGGAGGGACAAAAGAAATAAAATTTAACAGCATAAGGCAAGGTCGCTGCACCAATATGGTTGTTCTTAATGCTTTTCGAAATTTGTTTTTAGCAGGACAAAAATATCTTGAGCTAATTAAATGAAACAGTTTGAGGCAAGTATTCTGGACCTTATTGGGAAAATCGATGCATGTTTATCTCACTTATTGCATAATCACTTCCAATAAAAAATGTGGTTATATTGAATGGACAGAATGTTATGGTGATCACTTGAATTTGTACGAGAATATAGTATCATCTGTCGATAAATATCTCTTTAATTCGTTCCTGTTGAAGTACAAATTGTGTAAGTATAATTCGGTTATTCATTATTTTAGATTGCATGCGTTGAAATGGAATGTTATTGCATTATTTGGCGGTATATATGTCATGCACCATTACTGCGCCTGATGACCTGTAGTGAACGTGACATTATTGTAACAGTGCATTCCAATGGTACCATTGAATGGCGATCTTGTAAGATATTGGAGAATGAAAAGGGTAAAACAACACTAACTTATGAGTTGCTATATTCGAGTGAAACACAGCGGCAAACAGAACACTGTCGGATATCTGCTGCAGCATTATGCCCTATCACGCAAACTACCATTGCTTTATTATATAATTCAGGAAACATTTCTGTTTATCAGTTGGTAAGTAGATGTTTTATTTCTGGTTTACTCGAAGAGCAAGGTCCAAAAATTTCTAGCTCGAAAACATAATCTTTAATTTTATCACTGTTTGAAATGTATGGAAATTTCTGTAGCTGGATTTTTTGATTTATAGAGTTTAAAAGAAGACGATATAGTACTGCCTTATCGATCATGCTACATCACGGATATAATTAGCGTTGGTGAAGATTTGTGCTACTCAGTAAATGGTCACTTGAAGTAAGTGGTATTTCGTTTACTTTTTTTTTTCTAAATCATTTGATCTTTTCTTTGTAGTTAATGCATTCAATTTAGGATGTCAAACATAGTACAGATGTTTTCATTGGGTCAAGGAGTAACGACAGTACGCATGCAACCAGGGCACGTTGAGAAAAATGGTAAAGTAATGCAATTAACTGCTCTGGGAAATAATCAGGGAATCTTACGATTGGTGGACATTTCAGCAGGAATGATCTTCCGAGAGCTGCATATTCATACATGTCCTATTAAGTAACTTGTCATATCTTCAATTTGTTCTAGTATTCAATTATAATTGTTCGGTGCTGTTTTGAGAACTTATTCAGTAAACTTATTTACTATTTAACACTTTTAGAATTTATGTACGGCTGGGTACCCTGTTCGTGATATCTTCTCTTTATTAGACATAGGTGTGTTTATCCTTGCCGCCTTCAAAACTTACATTTGGTGACAATATTTTGCCATGCTGATTAAAAACGATATTCAGCACTAACCGATGCTCATTTTTAATTTTAACGCATAATATTTCATCTGTTTAACTGTATTTCATCATAATTAGAAAGAAGAAGACTGGCAATTTGTTGCCATGTGCTATATGATAGCAAATTGTCAACCTTATAATTGAAAAAATTTGCATTTTCAAACGAGATTTCAAATTGAAAAAGCAAAGAAATGCTATGTAAAGCAGTTACAGATGTATGGATTGGTGTGGACCGCATAAACTTATCTCGGCTGCATATGTTCATCCCTTGAGCGCTTCATCACTAGTCAAAAATGATATTTTTATTACGGATATTCGGACAGGTGAAATATTTCAATATTTTCTCACCAAAATTTCCCAATTGCCACAACTTATGAATAATTGTGATATTGTGATATTTGTGATATTTTTTGTTTCTTTTTTTGCAGGTGAAGGTAGGAGGTTGCGACCAGAAGTGGAAGAAACTCCTGTAGAAATGTTACGGGTATCATTCTACCAGTAAGTTAATTTGTTGTTTACTAAGATTGGTTACTTCTTATCGATAACGATCAAGCTCTCATATTTCTTTCCTCTTTTCTGTCCTCGTTCCTTCTCTTGAAAAGCGTAACAAATACCTTTAAATAATTTTAACCCAACTACTCATCTAGATTGTTGTTGATCGCTGTCAAATTCCCCATGTATTATCTCTTTTCTTTGAAATTTTCGCTACGCATTGTTCTAATATCCTTTGAATACTATGTTAAGATTATATATCTCCAGTCCCCGAAAATATAGTCTTCTATAACGACGATTTCCATGTTTAGTTGCTACGTTGCAATTGGCTTCCGTAATGAACCGCTGGAGATTTGGCACCTGAAATCGATGCGTTTGCTGAGAAGAATGTCTCGGTCATGCCCTATTATTATTGATATGGTGCTCTTTCATCAGTCCTTTTATTGGAAGTTTAACTAGATTGATTTCAATTTCTAAATTTGAAGCTCGTTGGTTTTCACATTTCTAGAATCAAATTTTCGAAATTATTCTATATGCAGGCTTGGTCCGGAAAGCATCATGCGGCAAAACAGATTTCACAAGGGGATGAGCCTGTCTTTCGGGAGAATCTTGTTGTCTTAGATGAAGAATGTCATCTATACCATGTGGTAGTGAAAGGCTTACATGTAAGGGATGGAAAAGAAGTGAATTCACAGGTATAAACAGAAGTGGATTTGTATATTATCATCAATATATTACATAAACGTGTTGTTTTTTTTCTTATTTTTGATGAAAGTTCTTTCAAGTTTTTTGGAAGAAACTTTTTTGAATTGTACTTTTAAAATTTTCAAAAAAGTCTGTCTAGTTGAGAGATCACTTGGATGTTCCATTCAGAACTTCATCGTAATTGAAGATTCCATATAGATGTTTTGTAGGTTGTGCAGATTTTTCCGATCAAACCATTTCATTTGATCTGCTTAATGATTTTAACTGTTCTTAATTTCAATAATAATGATACTATGGAAGGAAAAAGAGACATAGAAGTGAGGAATTTATGGCTTTCAACTTACTAGCTTTCGTTAATGTTTTCCTAAAGGTTTTTTGCAGTGGAAAAGTGGTGCCGCAGTAAAATGTTTGGTATGGAAAGATGATTTATTGGCAATGGGTGATGGTTGGGGACGATTAGGTGTATGGGATTTAGGACGACGACAGTGCCATCAAACACGTAGCACTACAAGAGGACCAATTTTGAAACTTGTTTTCTCGCGAATTCCCGGTGATCATACGCTTGCTGTACTACACCAGTATACCGTTGTTCTGTGGGATTCTGAAAAGCTTGTTGTACTTCAGGTATATATATTACATCAGACTAAATCCGGCGTAAACTTTCTTTAATCCAGGTTTTTGAAGGAAAATTAATTGGGCTTACATCATAATTATTAAATTCTGATTTATCGGAATTCATGAAAATCGTTTTTTGAAGAATTTCATTTCCGTGTTTTAGCAGAGTTCATTTTGAGTTTAAGGTAATCATTGTTTCATTATAAAATGGATGTGAAGATGACAATGTCATTGCGTTTAAAGCAAACACATATATTTATTTCAACTTATTCTCCAGTTTCCCAAATTTTTGTCTCTCGCTTCTCACTAACGTATTTTTGATAAAAACCTATTGCATAACCTTAACTTGAGTTGTATTTAGCTGTTATTCTAATTAGCATTAGCTTGTCTTTTTCTAATCATACTTATTTTTTAGCAGTGCAATAGTATCGCTACTTCAGTTTCATTCTTGGATCTTGATTTGCATGGCATATGTCCGCTAGTAGTTTGTTCGGATAGTTCGTTCCGTTGTATATCGCTTGTTCCTTCAGAAGTTCATCGTCGTCATTCAGGTTTAAAACTTGGACATTCCGTTGAATTACGAATTTCAAACTTGTTCAATCGTTCTTTTGTGGTTTCTCTTGAATTAATTGCTTAATGAGATCTTAAACTTACTATTATATATTATTGCTTTCATTATTTCGAATATTTTCTAGATCTTCCTCTGTTGCTTGAAATTGATTCCTCGCAACTTTTAACAACAGTTTCGAACGGTGATTCGAAAATTATGCTTTTGCATGGACTTTTGAAACTAAATGACAGGATCCCATCTGATTCTAATAGTCTTCATTGGTATCCTGTGGTACATCGACTTTTCGGTGAACGATGGTTGTATGATCTTTGGTCGGTAGTAATATCTACACTACATGATACACCACTTTCATCGCGACTGCAAATATTTTGGAGCCCATCCCATTTAAAAGTAACTTTTCTTTGATTATGGTTTTGTATTTCCTTTCTTCCTTTGCTTACTTATATTAAATTTTAATATGCTTCAGCGAAGAGTTGAACAGCTTCTTGCATGTCTGATGAGCTTACCTGATTTGAATTCTGCTCAGATTGACATTTTGGTTCATCTTGCAGTTGTCTTACAAAAGGTTGGTTTTTTTTTTTCGAATTTTGCCCAAAAAGTCCTGCACATTTGGTTTTTATCAAATTTTGAGAAACTTTCTTAGTTTTTAATAAATTTTATGAGAAATTGGTATCTTTTCAAGCGTGATTGGGCGATGCAGTTGTTACTTGGTTCGCATGAAGAATGTCGTACTAGCGCCTTGCGTGCTTGTCTTCTTGCTTCGAATGTTTCTTCGGAAGGAGCTCAAAGTATTATCAAACTTGTTGCAACTAATCTTATTGCAAATGAATGCATGACAGGTGATGAAGATTTCTTTGTTTTTAAAGTAAATCGCTAAAAATTGGAAATCTTTTTTTACAGTTATTTATAATCTTTGTAATACATGTCTATTGGTATTCCTTCGTTATAAAATATTACCTTATTATTTATTTTATTGATTTCAAACTTATTTTTAATGCAATAAATTTGTAGATGGTGTACAAATGTTATTTTTGATTGGACACGGTGATGATGCGTGTCGTTATCTGCAGGCTCATGGCTTCTGGAGCAAAAGCTTTCACTTCGCTAAAGTCATTTACTCTATATTGTTGAATTTAACTTAAAATATATCTTAAACTTTGATTGCTAATTATTAATATTGCGAAAGGAAGATGTTTTCGAGATTACCTGTTCCTTATTATTATATTCTCACTATTAGTGATTTCTTCTAAAGAAAAAGTGTTGCTAAATATATTATTAGTTGTAGGTTTCCCTAATTGCATTCATGTTTCTTTGTTTAAGATTTCTTTACCTGTACTGCATTTATGGTGAGATATATTCATTGAGTTGGATAAATGAAAAGACATGCATATAGAAAGTGTTTGATTCAGCAATAAGTCTTCACATGGCTAATTGTGACATTTAAGATAAATAGAATTTCCTAATGAACCAGTGAATTACAACGGAAAAGCTTATCTGAGGTAATCTATCCATGGAACGTATCATGAAGAGTAAAAAAATTAAAGTCCTCTCAAAATGTGACAAAATTTTTGATTTTCAACATTATTTCAGCTTGGTTTCGATGATTGGAAGGATGTTGGGAACAAATGGGTTGAACATTTAGTAACATCGAAATCACAAAAGGTAAGTTGAAATGGGATTAATTTGCCTTTATTTCTTTCCGATTTCCAATTTTCACCGTTTCAGATATCATTCCAATGCATTTCAGAATTTATGCTCTTTATTGGCTGCAAATGTTGGAGATTGGAATCGATTATCGATGCTTTTAACACAGAATTCGAAGGTAGCAGTTGCAAGGCATTTGCTTAAAATTGTTGAAGCCCGATCAATTTTTGTTGCATATCATCCACCCGCTGAATCAACGGATGAGATTCGAGAGGTTGTACCTCCAGTTTCTGATCCGTAGCATCTACAGTATTGTTGAATTTTGAATATTTTGGTTCTAGTGGGAAAATGAATGTAAGAAATTGTGCAGCAAAAAATTTCTTTGACGCTATTGTATTCCGAGTGTAAGATGGTACTGTTACGATTTAGCCTCGTACTGTTATGATTTAGCCTCGTCATAGGTATTTTTTGTCAAGATGTAGATTTATGACAAATAGTGTCGTAAGAGAAAGATAATGATTAGAAGGGTTTTCCTAATATATTCCTGATATGCTCAGAGGATGTGAAAAGCGTATTTTAGTACTGTTGCTAATATGTTTGTCATATTTTGTGTCGTTTAAAGAAGTTTGAAAGGGTGCACTAATTTTTAATTGTCATTTGGTATAATTTGGCTGAAAATTTAACATGGCCTAAACTTCTTAAGAAACGCATATTGAAAATCTCATTCGATTACTCTCTTCTCTCTCCCTCTCTCTCTCTCTTTCTCTCTCTAAAGAGATAAAAAATTCTAATGCAGATAAAAAAGAATTGTATAGAAACATATCAACAAACATATATTATTATTATTTGAAAATTTTATTTTTGTATTATCGGACATATCTGCCTCTCTCCGTTTCTTCTTCTCTCTTCTACTCTTCTTGCTTCGTACTTTTAAATCATAATAGCATCAATTCATGTAATTAAGATAATTAATGGTGTGAAAATTAAGGAATCATTATTGTATAAGATGAATAATACAGTATTTTACACATATCATTGCATCATAATTAATAATAATAAGAAGAATAAGAATAAGGAGAATAAGGATAAGGATAGCCCTTTAAGGATAAGGATAGGGACAATAATAGGGATAAGGATAGGATAAGGGGATAAGGATATAGGGATAAGGATAGGGGTAAGGATAAGGATAAGAAAGAATAATAATGACAATAATAATAATAATATCTAATAGTAATAGTAATAATAATAATAATAATAACAACAATAATAATAATTAATAATTAATAATTAATAACTAATAGTTAGCACTTAATGATTAATAATTAATACTTGATAATTAGTAATTAATAATTAATATTTAATAATAATTAATAATTAGCAATTAGTAATTAATAATTAATGACTAATAATTAATAATAACAATAGTAAGAATAATAATAATGATAATAGTAGTAGTAATAACAATAATAATAATAGTAATAATAATAGTAAATAATAATAATAATAATAATAATAATAATAATAATAATAATAATAATAATAA